GAAGTGTACAATTTGAAAAGCTTTGAGAGAGAGAGAGAGAGAGAGTTCCATGAAATCATCACCACTAGAGAGGCACATTTCTGACCAGGAAGGATGGCAAGTAGAGGTTCCTTGCCAGAGTGGCTCCCAGATTTTTTTCAGGTTGTGCCCACTCTCAAAGCTCACCCAGCTGAGGGGTCACAATGCTAGACTCATGACTTGAATCCTAAACCCATATGTTTAGTTCTAACTCTGAGACTTGTTATCATCAGCCAGTACAGCCCACATAGTGAGTGGAAGCATCAGTGAGCTAGTCTGTAGCTGCTTTAGTCCTGTCTGGGGAGCCAGGAGCTCAGTGGAGGAACACTAGATTCCTTTGCCTATGCAGCAAGCCTTGGGTGCATAGCTTGGACTCCATGGGCTTCTCATCCTACCCCAAATCCTGGCCCCACTGCAATCCATTCGGTGGTTGACAGTAAATGAGTGTCTTGGCTGGGTAGGATGGTCTGTGCCTGCACTCATGTTCATTTTTTGAGACCTATTATCTCTCCTGGCCCTACCCACAGGCTCCCTGTGGCCAGTGGGAATGAAGTGTTAACTCACGTTGCTTTTGGAGGTCCCAAAACCAGGTCCTGAGGATTGTTAAGAATCACCAGTGGTGAGGGCACCTGAGTGGCTCCGTTGGTTAAGTGTCCGACTCTTGATTTCTACTGAGGTCATGATCTCAGGGTCATGAGATCAAGCCCCACGTTGGGCTCCACACTGGGCGTGGAGCCTGCTTAAGTTTCACTCCTTCCCTCTCCCTTTGCCCCTCCCTTTCAAAAACAAACAGACAAACAAAAAAACCCAATTGTCAGTGGTGGATAGAGAGCCCGGGTTACTCCAGAGAGTTACACGTTTGCCCAGACTAAGGACCGGCTGGACCCAGTGGCGGGATTGAGGCTGCCAGCCCTGGGGAGAGGCTCTGAAACCTACCCCAAGATGAGCGTGGCAGAGACCTTGTCTGCTGCAGAGCATAGTCTGTCCCGGTTTCAGGTAGCACCTGGCCTTGTCAGCCCAGAATTCCCTACCAGCCTGTACTGGGGGACCTGACGTCAGGGGAGGGGACTGTAGAAGCCCCTGTGGGTTTGTAGTCCGGCTGAGCTACATGAGTCCCCAGCCCTCGTGAGAGTCCTGATGAGAAGCTGGCCAATGAGAAGCAGCTACTGACCCTTTCTTCAGTTTTTCATCTCTGTTGCTACAAAAATTAATGCATGCTGGCTGGAAGTGGGTCTCCTCATAGTAGCTGTGGTAGCTGTAATCTGGCCCCGAAAGTTCTGCCTAACCCTCTACCTAACACCAGAGGCCGATAACCCCATCACCACGTCCTCCAGCTCTGACTCCCTGGCCACTCCCATCCTGACTTTATTTATTTATTTATTTATTTATTTGACAGAGAGGGAACACAAGCAGGGGGGAGGGGCAGAGGGAGAAGCAGGCTCCCCACTGAGCAGGGAGCCCGATGTGGGGCTCGATCCCAGGACCGTGGGATCATGACCTGAGCTGGAGGCAGACGCTTAACCCACTGAGCAACCCAGGCGTCCATCCCATCCTGACTCTAGCAGCCATGTCTGTATGGGGGCTGCCCTAGGAGCACTCACCCTTCTAGAAGGGAGTTGGTGTCTTCTTGCTAGCACCACCGAGGCTGCAGGGGGGGGGCGGCTGTAGCCTGAGTACTCAGGCATTGGTGCTCCAATGTTCTTGCCTCCTGCTAATCTGAACTTTCTCTAGATTTGAGTTTGAGATCTCTACCTCTTCCTTGTGGAGATTCTCAGCCCATCCAAGGTTTATTCCAGAGTGAAGAGCCAGCTGTGTGGCTAAGTGATCCTTACCGTTAGCTGCAGGGATTCTTCATGTCCACCCTGGGGACTGCTTCCCACCCCTCTGAGGTGCCCGGAGGCTCTGTGCGCATACCGCCCAGCAGGGAAGCAGATTTGTTTTTCTCTCTGTCACTGGCCTGGAAGAAATGCTTTCTTGGAAGCCACACATTCCCCCTGCCTCTGTGACTGGGGAGCCAGTAGGCTCCACAGAGTGTAGGCCAGCAGCCTGGCACCAGGCAGGCCAGGGTCTGAACTCTCTGGAGGGCAGCCTTCTTCGTGATTACTGAGCACCATCTCTCTGTTCTGGGAAACATTTTTCTGGGAACCACCAAGCTTCTTGTTTTGGCTTTTCTTCCCTTTTTTGGCTCCTTGTTAGGCTGGGGTGACCCAGCATCTGAATGTTCAGCTGCTTCCCCCCGCCTGCAGACCTCTTTTCATGGGAATTGCACATTGAGAGCTGGAAACTCGAGCAGTGCAGCCTGTTCCATACCCGCATCCCTGTTTTATACTTGGGGGAAAAGGCAAAATGGGGGGGAAATCTTGTCTGACGTTGGATAACCAGTTAACAGTGGAGTAGAAGCTAAACCCAGTTTCTTGACTCCAGCTCAGAGCTCTTGGCTGTAACTGGGCCTAGTGTTGTGGTCACAGCATCAGTGATCCCAGCTGTAAATGTCACCTGAGTGTCCCACGGCTCATTGGCTCAGAGTGGGGGCCCAAACAGAACCGCAAGAACAGATCCAGATGGTGCATCCCAGGCCCTCTGGCCTCAGTCCCTTGCTGGATGCCTGGACTCTTAGAGTCCCAGAGCCCTGCTCTAGAACCATTCCTGTACCATTCCTGTCAATGGTCTGAAGCCCACTGAAAGGGTACCCTGCCCCGTCCACAGCCCTGGGCTCCCCCTGGATTCTTAGAAGCAACCATGAAAGGCCTCACCTTCTCTTCTCCTGGATTGACAGATGGGCACTGTCCTTGCTCTCTACCTATCCTCCCTTCTCCAACTGGTAGCAAAACAATGGAGCTGAAAGCTATGAAAATCAGGATGGGAGGGGGCCCACTCTCCCTGTGAGGGGGAGAGCTCTCTGCTTTGCTGTCCACACAAGCCTTTCCCTGCCTGCATGAGCGCATGTACCCATGCGATAATATAAACAGAGCCTGCAGGGATATAGGATATTCTCATTTCATTTTCCAAGAGGCCATAAATTTAAAACATTTAACAAAAGAAGTGAGTGATACGTCTCTTTGCTCCCCTTACAGTGGAACCTGGTGTGTGAGGACGACTGGAAGGCCCCACTCACGGTCTCCTTGTTTTTCGTGGGTGTGCTGGTGGGCTCCCTCGTTTCGGGGCAGCTCTCGGACAGGTAAGGTGGGTGTCTCTCTGCTGCAGCTGCAGGGGACCACAGCACCAAGCACGGAGCACGTATGTGCCTGACTCTTGGCTTTAGATGGTAGTGCTCTCTCAGCATGGGGCCTTGTGTTTTAGAAGAAGAGGAAGCGGTGTCTATAGTGTAGATTCCATACCAAGTAAAGAGAGCCAACAACTTTTTCTCCCTCATTCTTGCTGAGCAGAACAACCTGAGCTAAGTGTATCCATCATCCAGTTGACCAGGAAATATATCATGATTCACTTCTTGTACCAGCCTGTTGGCCTTCCCTAGGTGACTCTTTCATGGGAGAGGTAGACACCACACACACGCAGATGAACTTTGTTGACGATCTTAAGGCCTCCCGTGAATGGCCACCTCTGTATTCCCCAAACCGTCATTCTCTCTGCATGATGAGAGGGGATCTTACTGGCCAGTAGTAGTGTAATGGGCAGAACTCTTGTGTTCACAGGGCTGCTGCCCCTTAGCTTACAGCTTGTAGCACCTACTTGACAGCAAGCAAGACATGTACTGTTTTGACTTATAAGCAGGTTATTTATATAATTCCAAGGCTTTTAACTCAAAAGTTCCTTTCATGGCTTAAGGAGTTCATCTACTCTTGAAATTATATGCAAAATTTTAGAGATTGTATATGAACATTTTTTTTTCTGGAGAAAGGTCCATAGTTTCCGTGAAGTTCTCAGAGGGGTCCATTATGTGGTATCTTCCTACCCCAGGGCTCCAGGGTCTGTTGGAGAAGCCCACGGTGAGAAGAGTAGCCTTCACCAAGGTCCTTGGCCGTACTGGATCACCCAGTGGAGTCCCAGCATCCTCCTAGCTGGTTGGGGTCTAATAGAGAAGTTCAGGATGAGAATGTCATCCTACTTTAAGAACAAACTTATATTATCCCGGAGCACAAACTCAGGTGATGTCCTGGCATGTTTATCTCTATAGATTATTGTCTTTACCTGAGAATCCATTCCTCATGAGAAATATATGCATTTCTCACTAGATTTGTGTTTCCCAAGTATCGTCTAGCCATTAGAAAAGTGACAAATTCTTGCAGTCACCAGTGAGCATTTAAGAGTCAAGTAGGCCATGACCACTGATTGACAGTTCTAGACAAGCCTGAGCCACGTGCCCTTTCAGGGGAAAGACCTTTGCTTCCCGAGATCCTTAATCTAGCAGCAAGCATCAGTTGATTACTTATATTTATCTAACAAACATATAGCACCTAACATATGCCAGCCACCCTCAATAAGCACTGTACAAATTTAAAAGAAAGAAAAATAATCCCATCATAACCCTATGAAGTAGGAAGTATTATTACTCTCATTTTACAGGTGGGGAAAATGAAACCCGGAGGAGTTAAATGACTTGCACAGTCCCAAAGCCAGCAAGTGGCAGAGGTAGGATTTAGGCCCAAAGAGTCTTGACCCTCTGTTCTCGGGCCATGCTCTCCTAGAACTTGCCTTCTAGCAAGGCAGAATGTATTAAACAACTAATTGAGGGGTATACTTGTCCTTCGTGGTGTATGCAATACAGAGAAGAAGTACAGGATGCTAAGAGAGGGTCTGATGGAGGAGGCCTGGAGAAGCCGCCATGAGAAGGTGAAGTATGTGCTGGGAGTGGAAAGAGGAATAGAAGTCAGCCAACAATAAAGGGGTAGAGAGAGGAAGAAGCATTGTGGGCAAAAAAAGCTGTACTTAAGTAAGCCTCAACTCAAGAAGAGGCAGCTCACTTTAGAAACTGGGAAAAAGTCCTCTGGGGTGGAGGTGTGGAGAGTGATAGAGAGGAAGCAGGTGAGGCAGGTGGAGGCCCAAGCAGAAGAGCAGGCCAGGCTTAGCTGATGATACGTAGGAGTCTGTGGTTTAGTCACAGAGCAGTGGGGAGCTACTGAGAGTTTTATAAAGCAGGAGTACAGCGTAATCAGATTTATATATTTTTAATGATTATCTGATAACTTTGCAGAGAAAGGATTAAAAGGGAGAAAGAGGGGTTGTGGAGAGACCAATTAAGAGGCTGTCACAATAATTTATGTGGGAAATGATGATGGTTTGGACTAGGCTGACAGTGGTAGAAATGGAGAAGAGAGGTAGGAGATCCAACCAACAGGACTTGGCTGTGGGTTGGATGTGGGAAGTGAGGGGAAATTTTGGGCCTATACAGCGGAGCTGATGACGATGCCATTCTCTAAGACAAGGAACTCTGGAAGAAGATCATGTTTGTAGGAGAAGATGCAGAGCTCAGTTTGAATGTACTGAATTTGGGGTGACTAAGAGTCCTAAATGGATGAAGTGAGCCTGCAGTTGGATGTGTGGCCCTGGTGTTCCATGAAAGGTGTAGGCTGGAGAAATACATTTGGGAATTGTCAGCTCCATAGGACCCTCAACAAAGCATCCGGAGCGTGGAAGAGATTGCCCAGAGCGAGTGTAGAATGGGAAGAGGGGCTGCCCAGGATGGAGCTTTGAGACCTTCCAGGTGGGCTGCTGGGAGATCCCTGTCACAGGGTTGAGTGGCAGCTGAAAGAGGAATTTCCTTGATGTGAAAATCAAGGAGGAGGTGCCCCAAGTTCAAAGTTGAAACTCAGTGCATTTTTCTGGGTCACCTCTGTCATGGGTTAAGCAGACCTTCGTGGGCTAGCCTGAGAACCTGATTACCATGAACACGGTGATTGTATGAGGAAAGTGTTTCATTTCCACAGATCTGATCCCAGGGAAACACTAGAAGCAAAATTAATGAGTATGTTGAGGACCACCTTAGTCTTCTGAAGGACAAGTACAGTGTTTTACAAACCCTCTAGAAATCTCATCAGCAGACTTCTTTTTTTTTTTTTTAAAGATATTATTTATTTATTTGAGAGAGAGAGAATGAGAGCACGAGAGGGAAGAGGGCAGAGGGAGAAGCAGACCCCCTGCTGAGCAGGGAGCCCGATGCGGGACTCGATCCCAGGACTCCAGGATCATGACCTGAGCCGAAGGCAGTCGCTTAACCAACTGAGCCACCCAGGCGCCCGCAGACTTCTTTTAAGTAGGGCATCTAAGTCAAGTAAATGAAGTAGCTAAAAGTGTGGCTGTTCTGGCTGAGGCCCTCCCTTCAGCTCCCAGCATCACCCCACAAGCTTGGCGACACCCCCTTGGAAGGCGCCGGGCTCCGTGGGATGGACAGTTTCTGATCTCATTATTTCTAAGTAAGCTGGCTCAAAAACCTAGGCCAAACAAATGACCTCAGCAGTAGATTCATACCTCAGCTTGTCTGGGATATCCACAGTCACTTTTCGTTTAGGGCAAAGATCAATAAGCCTGAAATTCAAGAGCGGTGAAAATAATCCTGGGCGGTCACCACATTTTATCTGACCTTACTGAATTGCCGTTTTGTGCATGAATTACAAGAGGAGCACAGCCCTGGGAAGAGGTAGACTGGTACTTACTGTTTTTGTAAGCACATGTGTGGTTGACATTTTGTTGACAGACTTTAAAAGTGAGCATTTCTGAGCCCAACCCCAGACTGGGTTGCTAAGGACTGTGCTCTGTAAGGATTTGCTGGGTCTTTCTCTTCCTTACCGTCCATCCCAGGGAGCCCGTGGGAAGGGAAGGCATGGGGAGCGGTCACGCCTGTCTCCCCTGTGGGAAGGGACCTTCCCTTGGCTGGCGTGTTGGGCGTGCTTGTTATAGAATAATGCAGGGCAACTTGGTCTCTTTCTGGACAGGGTTGCTCGGCCTTGGCACCGTGGACATTTTGAGCCAGAGAATTCTGTGTTACGGGACGCTATCCTGGACATTTTAGGATGTTTAGAACATCTCCAGCCTCTACCTGCTAGATGCTAGTAGCACCAAAAACAAGCGAAAAACCTGTTTCAGGGGAGAGAAGCACCAGACTCTTTAACATGGCAACAGGGCCTTCTGCAGCTTGGTCCCCACCCAACCCCTGCGGTCTCATGTTGAACGCCTGACGCCAGTGATGCCGGCTGCTATCTGCGCATGTCTTCATGCCCCCTCCAGCCGCGCTTGTGTGTGCTCTTCCCGGCATTCCCCAACCACTCCCGTGACCTTCCTTGACCGTGAAGGCCAACTCAGGGTCCCCGGTTTATATTGCCCTGCTTCCTTGTGCCTTTTCTTCGTAGCACCTGTCAGAAATTGGTAAATAAGAGGTGTTACCATAGGTAATGTTGGTCCCCTCCACTATACAGCGAATATCATCAGAAGCTTTGTCCCTATCGCCTACTCCCCCTCCTCAATAATGACTTCTTCTTTGGGCCTTATCTCAGTGTCTGGCCATCAGGGAGACCTTCCCTGAATGCCCACGTCCCCAGCCCCTACTCCCAGGCCAGGGTAGGTTCCTTGGTCGTGTCTCTTGTGAACCTGGGCACTGGTCCTCCAGTGTGCTTGTGTCAATGTGTGATTGCACGTTCAGTAGTCTGGTGGCTTGATGACAATATGATTCCTGTCTTACCACCTGTAGGCTCTAAGCCCCTTGTGGATAGAAACAAGAGTTTTGGTCTGTGTTTTATAATTCACCTGTATCCCTAGTGCCTAGTATATAACTGAGGTTCATATATACATTCATTGAGTGAAAATGGGTGTCAGCCAGCCCAGGCCACAGTAAGGCGGAACCTGCTGGGTTGAATGAAGTACATTGACTTGTTTCTCCCTATGACACTATCTTTAAAACAGATGAAACCCACAAAAAAGCCAACATTTGTTTTTTTTAAAGATTTGTATTTATTTCTTTGACAGAGAGAGATACAGCGAGAGAGGGAACACAGCATGGGGAGTGGGAGAGGGAGAAGCAGGCTTCCCGCGGAGCAGGGAGCCCAACGTGGGGCTCGATCCCAGGACCCTGGGATCATGACCTGAGCCGAAGGCAGACACTTAACGACTGAGCCACCCAGGTGCCCCAAAAACCAACATTTAAAAAAAATTTTTTTAGGGGCGCCTGGGTGGCTCAGTCGTTAAGCGTCTGCCTTCGGCTCAGGTCATGATCCCAGGGTCCTGGGATCGAGCCCCGCATCGGGCTCCCTGCTCCGCGGGAAGCCTGCTTCTCCCTCTCCCACTCTCCCTGTTTGTGTTCCCTCTCTCGCTGTGTCTCTCTGTCAAATAAATAAAATCTTTAAAAAAAAAAATTTTTAATGAACACATATAGAAAACCACACAGAACAAATGTGTGGGTTGATGAATTATTCCAGGGAAATAACCTTGTAACTACCACCAAGTCATGAAAAAGAACCTTGCTGGCCACCAAGGAGCCCTGTGCACATGTCCCATTCCAGGTACCACAGCCTTCCCTGCCCCCCCCCCCCCCCCCCCCGCCCATAATTAACCACCAACCTGGCTGTTACAGTAATCACTTGTGGGGTTTTTGCAGCTTTATTATCCAGATGTGTATCTTTAAACACAAGTTTAGTCTTGCCCACTTAAAAATTTTTGATAAGTTTTTGTGGGATTGATGAAGGGATTCTTCCTCCATCCTTTTCTTTGCCAGACACTTTATCTTTTGCACCCAGGGCTGTTCCACTGCAGAATTTCCCAGGCTGGATTTTGCTGGTTGCATACTCATGGTGCAGTTCAGTATCTTCCTCCTTTCTCTTCGTTTCCTGCAAATTGGTGGCTGGATCTGGAGATTTCATCAGATCCAGGCTCATACCCCTTAGCAAGACTAGGAATCATGTTAATTCAGTTGTCTCTTCAAGAAAAGACTGTTAGCAATCACTGAAACATAATGCCCCAACATAATGCCCATTTATTGAGGAATATAAAATGTTGATATTCTAATTTTATCACTTCTTTTTCATTTAATAGTTGGAATACTTTTATAAAATGATATTTTCCCTCATCCATTATTGGTTCCTGTTCAGATACTTTACATAGGAATTTCAGGACAAGTGTTTCTTTCCCTCTATTTACCAGTCTTCATTTAAAATGACTTGTTTCTTTATCATCCTCCAAAATAAACCAGTCCTTTAAAAAAAAAAACCATTATGAATATATGGATTTAAGTATAGTGAATGCATTTCGATGCCTTGCAGTCATTATCGTAATTCTGGCACTGTCATGAGGGCATCCTAGTGCCTGGGCTGCACACTGATCCTGGGGATGGCAGGGTGGGGGGGCGAGTAACAGGCCCAGTACTGGGGACGGGTACTGTCCGTGCCATGTGCCCTGGCAGCATCGTCCATGACTCCTCCCTGGATGGCTCTGGGGAAAATCCCTCTTGGTGGGGCCCATTTCTGCCACCTTCTCCCAGCTGGATCTCTGTCACTCTCTTTTCCTTCCCAGGTTTGGTCGGAAGAACGTGCTCTTTGTGACCATGGGCATGCAGACGGGCTTCAGCTTTCTGCAGGTCTTCTCGAAGAACTTTGAGATGTTTACTGTGCTGTTTGTCCTTGTGGGCATGGGCCAGATCTCCAACTACGTGGCAGCATTTGTCCTGGGTATGGCCAACAAGTTGGAGTTGAGTACTTGATCCTGTGTTTCACCGTCACCCCACCATCCACTCTCTAGAGATGGCCGTGGTATCCCTCAAGGGGAAGTGGTCGTTAGCAACACCAACCAGGGCTGTGTGGTGAACCCAGTTTGCCCAGCCTTGAGTCCCCAGGAGCACAACAGCCTGAGTTCCAGATCTTTTCTGGTCCCGTTAGTATTCAATAGCCATTTTACTAGAATTCACCCAAGATCATCAATGAAAAAACAGGACCTTCCCAGGGCTGAGGTTGTTAAGGAAAGATAAAGACATGATATGAGGAACAGGGACCACGAATGGCAGGCTCGTCAAGGAAGAAAGCTGCCTCTTCTGCAAAGCATTGTGTTCTCTGAAACTGGCAAGAATGAATTGATACGAATGGACTTGAGTCTCAAGACCTTAAGAGTTTTAATTCCGAGTACACACTGTGGGGCTTTGGCTTATTCTCACTCAACAGTCACCAGTCTCACTGTTTGGAGGAGTCTCACTCTAGCTTATTGGTCTTTGGGTTCCTTGGGTTGTATGTTGAAAGGACTATTTCTTTCTCTTCACATCCAGTAGAATAATCTTTTTAAAAGAATATTTCCTTGAGCCCGCATGTGTGTCCTTCATGATGGCTTCCCCTTTCATAAATTCTTCCTCACGTGAGGATTACACTTTGAGGCCTCACATGGCATCTTTAGCATATGGCTTGGGGAAAGTGATGAAATTTGCAAGGCGGAACCGTCCCTGGGAAGCCTAAGAGGTCCCAGGGGGGCACCCCCAGCAGGTGTTCAGCCTGCAGCAGGTTCAGAATCCCATCCCTCCCTAGGGCGGGGCTGCTCCCTTTCCTGTATGTTGAGAATCATACAAGAGAAGATGAGTGAGGAAATGACCTAAACGAAAGGACTAACATGCCTCCTCCCTTGTTTTCGAACAGGAACAGAAATTCTTGGCAAGCCGGTTCGTATTCTATTCTCCACGCTAGGAGTGTGCATATTTTACGCGTTTGGCTACATGCTGCTGCCGCTGTTTGCTTACTTCATCCGAGACTGGCGGATGCTGCTGCTGGCGCTCACGGCGCCCGGGGTGCTGTGTGTGGCCCTCTGGTGGTGAGTGTCGCCTGCGCCCAGCCGTGCCCAGCCGCGCCCACCAGCAGGTGTCTTCTGTTCGGCCTTCACTGGGGGGGCAGCAGCAAGCCGCAGAGCCGTACCCGGGCCTCCAGAGCCTGGAAGTAGAAATTCTTTGTAAGTCACTTCGGAACGCTGTCTCCACACTCAGAAGAGCCGAAAAGAAAACAGCACGCAATCCCCAGACATCAGCAGACTTGTTCTCAGGCCTGTGCTGGGCCGATCGACGTGCAGGGAGGGGAAGAAGTAGCAGCCGAGAGCTGATGGGGTCTAGCCTGACCTTCAGGAAGCTATGGGACTGACAAGACAGCTTAGGCCCCGGTTCTGGTTGTGTGTTCCTGAGGCCCCAGGCCACAGGTGCTGAGAGAAGAGGGAGAGCACTGGAAGTGAGAGTCCTCTGGCTAGCTTCACAGAGGAAGCCAGGCTCCACAGGGGCCTCCAAGATAGAGGAGTTAGGCAGGCAGAGAGGAGGCCTTCCTTACCAAGAGAGGGAACACAGCAGAGGGGCTGAGGTGGGAATCACACCTTGCAGGTGGGGTTGTTGAAATCACAGCTCCCCTCAGAGCTGAGAGCATTTCAGAGCATAATGGGAGAGGACACAGAGCACAGCATGGGTCCTGGTCATGACCAAAGGGCAGGGGCCATCGAGTGAAGTAGAAAATAAAGATCCACAAAGTCTCTAAGTCCCAGGGGCTTTGATAAACATATGTAGGGGGTCTGACAAGTCACTTGGGTGGATCCGGGATCGGGGAGTGAGGAAAAACTACAGGCTAAGAGGCCAGTGCAGAAGCTTCTGTGGATGCTGGGGCCAAGCAGGAGAGTACAGCGGGGCAAGAGAATGGGCTGGCCTCCACCCACCGCAGAAGCCAGGCGTCAGGAGCCCAGCTTGTGCCTGTCTCTTCAGAGTCCAGCAGGTGGCACCACCACTCTTCAGAAATGGAGGTGGCCAGCCTGAAGAGGAATCCCAACCTGGTGTACAGGCCCCTCTAAATTTTGTGCACTCCAGGGTACTCAGAAACTCACACGTTGGATCATTAGTGGGTATGGTGTGAACCATCTCTTTGTTTGGACATTCCCCAAACCCATGTTTGGTTCTAAAACCCCATTTCCCACCTCCACATAGGCTACACCTGGCTCCTTGTACTTCCAGGTTCATCCCTGAGTCCCCCCGATGGCTCATCTCTCAGGGACGACTTAAAGAGGCAGAGGTGATCATCCGCAACGCTGCCAAAATGAACGGGATTGTTGCACCCTCAACTATCTTCGAGTCAAGTGAGGTAAGCACTGCAAGGGAGCTGGTGGGAGGGTCTCAGTGACGATGATTTTAGGACAGCACCATGCAGGAGCCCAGCCCTCTCCATGCCCAAGCCCCAGCTGCCCCCGAGCAGGCCCTGTTAAAATTCACAAGTTGGGAAGAAGGCACCAACTGTCTAACTCTTCACCTTTCCCGTGGGTTTTAAGTTGTCATACTTTATGTAATTCTTTTTTTTTTTTTTTAAGATTTTATTTATTTGAGAGAGAAGGAACAAGAGACAGAGAGCACGAGAGGGAGGAGGGTCAGAGGGAGGAGCAGACTCCCTGCCGAGCAGGGAGCCCGATGTGGGACTCGATCCCGGGACTCCAGGATCATGACCTGAGCCGAAGGCAGTCGCTTAACCGACTGAGCCACCCAGGCGCCCTATGTAATTCTTTTCTAGGCAATCTTATTATAGTTTAACAATTAATTTGAATAACACTCTTTCTGAGTAATAGGCCTTTCGTGAAGTTGGCATTGTGGGAAATCACTGTTTCTTATGTCTTATGTGGTTTCTCATCTTAAAGAAAGAGAGTACGTAAAATATGAAGCAGAAATAGATTTGGGGTTAGAAATGTTCAGTCTCCTTCCACTCACCAATCGTTAATCATTGCATATGCTCTTGAAACCAGGTCCTTCTGATATCTGCCCCTTCCCCCACCCCATGCCTCTTGCAAACCCTGTTCTCATGCACCATGAGTAATTTCCTGGCTCTGCCTGATTCCTGGGTCTTGCTTCTCCTTCCTGTTCCCTCTCCCTCCACCCGCTACAGGAGGCAGTTTTCCTTAGTCTCCTGACTACCACAGGAGGTTAGAAGTTGTAATTGCTGGCTGATGGGCCTTTGGAATGTGTCTCTGATCTGATGGGAAGACAAGGGACCGGCTGTGAGAACGGCCACCAGCCGTCGTACTGAAGTATGTGTGCAGAAGGAACATGAGAGATGCTTGGGACTCGGGATGCAGACCCAGGGCGTAGGAGAGGGAGCCCAGTTACTAGAGGCATCAGAGAAGCTGTGGCTTGGGCCCTGCTGGCCTCACAGTTAAGTGCTGGCTCGGCAACAGCTCCCACTCAGCATGTCCTGGAAGGGGCTTTAAAGCACAGACATCAGGGTGAGGAGGAGGTAGCAGGGAGGGCTTTTAAGTGTGGTGGCCTTGGTGGCTTTTCAGTGGGGGGTCAGTCTGGGTGAACCCAGAACCCCACTGGCGTCTTTGAGGAAATGAGGCTATTTCAGGGACTCCATTAAGTCAAAAGGTGACCTCCTGTTGAACTGCTAACTCGAGAAAAACAAACTCCAAAGCTGGGTTTGCTTAAGAAAGCAACATCAGTGTGTTTAGACGTGTGGTTTATTAATGTTCTTGGCTGTGCCAGATTTCATAGGAAGTTACTCTGGGTGAAGCTGAGGTCAATTTTCCTGTTTTTCTATCTGAAATTTTTTTCCTTGGAAGTAGACCAGTAACTACATGGTATGAGGACTCAAAACATAAATTCTTTTAAAATATCAGATCAATAAACTACACAGCCAGTTTCTCTCTCTGACCCAGAGGGCAGGGAGCCAGCCTTGGGAAGGAATGCTCAGAGGCCTCCCTGGAATGTGGACACTGATGGAGGCTGGAGGTGGGGCCGAGAGGGAGCTGTCGGCTTGGGCCTGCATCCACCTTGGCTGCCTCCCCTGAGGGACTGGTCACCTACTTTTCCTCCTTATTCTCGTTCACTAATGGGTCATTGACATGTCCTGGGGAAGCCTTCCGCAGCTCAAGATACACTCACCGTACTTTTCTTTTCAAGAAAGAAACAAAACACTCGCCAACTCGGAGACGCAGGGTTTTGGGTATATTATGGGATCCCCGAGTCTCCAACCTCTCCCTCCCATGCCCTTGTCATATCGTTCGTGCAGCTGCAAGACCTGAGTTCTGAGAAGCAGCCGTCCCACAGCATTCTGGATCTGCTCCGAACCCGGAATATCCGAATGGTCACCGTCATGTCCATAATTCTGTGGTGCGTAAGTGAGACCTACCTGAAGCTTCCAGACAAAGCATCTGGCAGTGGCTGCCAGGCCTCTCCTTTGCAGATGTGTCTCAGACCAAAACTGAGAGCGTGTGTCATCAAAAAGTAGAAAGGATCTTCCTTGCAGTGAAAGAAGTGGGCATATCATAATCTGAGCTAGTTGGAATCTCAGAAAAGGAGTATGAAATCTGTTGGATTTGGGGGAAGCTATGGAGTCTTTGGGGAATCCTTCCAGGTCCCGAGGCAGATCCTTGGTCACTGTGGGCCCTAGTTTGTTTCTGTCCCCTGTTCCTCAGACAGTGACTGAAGAAGACAGGGAGGCTTTTAAGAAGGATCTAAGTGAAGCCATTATGTCCTTTCCACTACAGAGACTGCTAAGTACTGTCTGGAAATGTGGAAGCAGGACATCCTCCCTCTGGGATGTTCACAGACTGTCCTGGAGGCAGGGCCATGGCCTAGACGTCCTCCTCAGGCTCCTTCTAATGAGGCATTTTGCCAAGTGTGTCAGGAGGACGCTTGTGAGTTACCAGAGAGAGGGGACAGAGCCTAGTGCCTCAGTAGCATTTGCTCAGTGGCCAGACCCTTGGGATTCTACAAGAATACCTGAGCCTGCTGGGTGACAAAAGCAGATTTCATCTCCGAGTCCTTATTACTAGAGTCATCCAGCTTTGGGGCAGCCAGCTCTTTGTCTCACCGGGGGATACTGTGAGTCACCCATTTCTAAGGAATGGCCCAGGATCCCTCCGGGCAGTGCATCACCCTTGCGTTGCCCTCAGACAGGACCAGCATTCAGCCTGCACCACAGACTGGCAAGCCTGCGATGAGTCACCTGTTCTGTGGTTCACCCAGGTGCTCCTCCAGCTCTGGATTCCCCAGGGACTCCTGGACATTCCCTTTCCCCTGATGGTACCAGCTGTGGTTTCAATGTGCAGATGAACTCAAAGCCTTCTAATCCATAAAGGTCTGGTTTGCCAAAGAGGGCTGGTCATCAGCAGAGAGAATGCCTGGTAGGGACAGGGTCCAGGCCTGGGACGCCGGGAAGCATGCAGATGAGAGATGACATGTCCCCACCATTGGGAGCCCCTCCTCTTCTTCACGAGTACAGTGGGGTTGGGGTCCGCCGCCTCTGTCCAGCCTCCTCCTGGCTGGTTGCCACAGACTGAAGGTCTGCTGGGGGGGTCTTTCTTCAAATGTTTGACCTAATTACTGTTCCTTATTTTATCCTATGCCTCCAGTCCTGTCACACTCCACTCGATACCGGCCTCTGCGCTCATTCCCTCCCTCCTTCTGCAGTTGCTGGATTTGGGGAGGGTCAGAGGGTAGGGAAGTAGCTTTTGTAGGTGCTTCAGTTAGGGTTTTTAAAGCCAGAAGGCAGGTTGGAGGCTGTTACTGGGCTTGCGGGGTGGTTTTCAACAAAGTAAATCTGTCTGAACTATATAAGCCTTTTTGCTGGGACACTGTGTTGGGAATGCTCTGATACTGCTCTGGCCCAGAGTTAACATGGGGTTGGGAGGAAATTCTCAAGAAGACTTCTTGAGAAACTCTCAAGAAGTCTTCCCAAGAAGACTCGGGGTTAAATCTGCTCTCCTCCTGGTAAGGATAGTTTTGAATTTCCTGCAGTAATTGTATTTTAAAAGTTGTTCCGGTTGGGAGGCACAGGGCTGCCGCCTCTCCAGCTTCTCCCTGTGCTCTCTTTCAGGATGACCATATCAGTGGGCTATTTCGGGCTCTCCCTCGACACTCCGAACTTGCACGGGGACATCTACGTGAACTGCTTCCTTTTGGCAGTGGTTGAGGTCC